TGACCCATTGCTTCTTAGGCACTCCTAGTGCCTTCCAAACAGCTTTGGACACATCAATAATGTTGTTGTATCTGAGGGCATGAGCGCAGCGCCCTAGCAAGGGATCATCAATATGAAAGATGTACTGAATATGTAAGGCAGATACACATAAATAAAATATGAAATGTGAAGGAAGAGCACAGAAGTCTACCTGAAACTCATAATAAGCCTCTGAGGGAATACATTGTCACAATCATTTTAATGTTATTCCAAGTTAATGACCAAGACCATGGAAACGAATAATAAGCAAATAAACGGAAGCTCTTGAACTATTTTCGTGTTCACAAATCAGAAGTAATTATTAAAGCACTACTTTTATATCGAAGCTCTTGCTTGTAGCTTGTCTAATGCATGGCACAAAATGGTTGTCTCACGTTTATGCTTTTGATGCCCTACACCAAACTCCAACATTTTTTCCTGGATAGGAAAGTGTATTAAGAAAATGGACTTTTATCAATATAATAAGAAATTTTCATAAAGCACTATAGTTTAGACCCCAGTAACTCTAGTTTACCTAATTATCATTTGTAGTTATCGTTCAATTGTTATCAGCTTGTAGCACTTGTATTCAAAAGCGCAACGAGTACATCATGTGTCAACTGCATTCGTTCGCGTAACGAATACAACCTGTATCAACTATATTCGTTCGCGCACTTGTATTCATTCGCACAGTGAATACAACAGGTATCAACTGTAACCAAAGTAAAATAAAAGGTATATACGAAGGATACAACATGTATCGATTGTATACAAGGGTGTATACAAAGGATGCATCATGTGTCAACTGTATTCGTTCGCGTAACGAATACAACTTGTATCAACTGTATTCATTCGCGCAATTTTATTCATATGCACAACGAATGCAACCAAGGTGAATACAGAAATACAGAAAAATAAAATGCTCTTGCTGAGAGTCGAACTCAAAATCTTCGCGAACTAAGCGGACGCTTTAACCAATTTAGCTACGAGAGCTTGTTGTTCTCTTATTTTAGTTCAAAATAATTAATCTCTTATTTCATGAATTTGCTATAAAATTCAAATATAACTACGAATGGTAAATACATTATATGTGTTTGACGTGTCGCATAATGTTTCCATATAATAATTCAGCTTTAAATGTCACCGACTATTGTCTAAATCATATAAGGAGATAGTGACTCATTCTCTCAACTAATATGGGACATTTTAATACTCCTAGAAAGTATAAGACTTGACATCTAGAGTGGAGAAAACATAACATAAGGACTCAAAATCGGGTGAACCTATAATAGGGAAAATGCATAAGCACCCCCTCCTCCCGCCTCCCCCCGCCCCGACCTATAGTCGGATTTTCAACTACACATTTTATCTTTGTGGGGATCCTAGTACTTCTCTGAACTATTTTAAAGTGTAATAAATACATCCTTAATTGATGATGTGGCAAGAAAAGTGTGTTCACTCTCTTAAAAGCATGTGAGAGGCAAAATTTAAGTTTAAAACTGATTAGTTTATACAAGTGGCAACTTTTAATTGAAAATGATATCATTATTTTAGACTTAATTAATTATCACTATAACTAAGACTAACAGTATTGTTTTTATTCTTTTTTAAAAAACGGGCCCCCTTTTCCTTTTTCACCGACGACAAATTTGACTCGCCGGAGCCACCTACACCAACATCGACAATAAACTCTACCGTTTTCCGACAACCTTTTTTTTATGAAGAAATCACTCCCGCTCATTGCCAAGCTTCCAAATAGTACATATGATTCACCGGCATCACACCTCTGTTGATTCCTCCGGCAACTGGAGAATAGTGAAACAAATGATTTTAGAATAAAAACCTACTCACACCATTGCTAAATAAATTACCGGATCTACCAAGGTTGATATCCAATGGCGATGAGACTAACATCACCACCGGCGGCGAGTTNCGATGGGTAACACCTAGAGCTAGCATTTTCCTATGGTCGTGTATAGGAGTGGCAAATGGACGGGTCGGATCGGATATGAGCCGGTCAACGACAGATAATTTAAAAACGGATAAATTATCCGATCCAACCCGTATTTAAGACGGATAAAAGACGGGTTATTCGGCGAATAATATGGATATCCATATTATCCATGATTTCTTGAATTTGATCACTTATGAGAGAATTCCTAGTCTCTCAAACTTGAGGAACTCCCAATTTGAGGCTTTACAAATGTAAAAGTTAAATACATTAGTTAAATGATTTTCTAAGTGGATAATATGGTTCTTATCCATATTCGACCCATTTTTAAAAAGTTCATTATCCAATCCATTTGTATTATTTTAACCATTTTGGCACCTCTGGTCGTGTACATCAACTAGGAAGTCTTTCAGCAACGTCAGGGGAATAATATGGAATCAACAGACCTTTGTCTAACCAAATTAGTTTGATGAGAAATAAAATTTATGTTGTTAGACATTATGGAAACTATAGCATGGGAAACTAATTACTACTAGTAATTAATGTACGACGCAAAATCATAGGAGAATTAACGAAGAGGAAGAATAGCAGTTAGCAAAACTAACAAACTTGTTTTGTGCAACCTGAAAAAGCTCTCAGCCCTTTGAACATTTCATAGGCACTTTCCAACTTCAATGCCCCTTTCCAAAATCAAGCATCTTTCTCTTTCTCTCTCCCTTTCACGCCCTGTTTCCTTCTCTTTCATTTGGAGAGTTTGCTTCATTTCTATCGTTTTAGAAGCTTCATCGCTCGCCACTTGCCCAAATGGTATGTTGTTCGCAGTTCTTTCACTGTATAGATTTACGTGATACATATATTTGCTCATTTGCTCAAAAGATAATGAACTCATATAATTTCCTCTTTTTGTTTGATTAGTAGTGACGTACATTTTGAATCATATTGAACGCGAATAGGGAGGCAAATATGTTCATATTGTACGTTTATATGTAATATGAAATGATACTGTATTCTCATTTCTGATTCAACATGGCCAAATCATCGCTTTTGATTTGCTCCAAATTTGGAATGTTGTAATTCGTCATGTATATTTTCCTTGACTCGAGGGACTTCGGAAACAGTCTCTTTACCTTCACGAGGCATAGAGGCAGACGTAAGGTCTGCGTACACACTACCCTTCCCAAACCCACTTGTGAGATTATACTGGGTATGTTGTTATTTATTGTTGTTAATTCGTCATGTATAATATGCCTCTCATGATTTATGCACTAAACGTAATTAAATAATGAAAAAGAAATCAAAGTGTTTCAATAGAAATAATGCAAAATCTTAAATGCTTAAGAGGGTAATTTCTGCACATACCCTCTAATTTAGTTAAAAGCAATTATACCCTTTCTATGTTGAAGTTTCGATTCCTATTCTAATAATCTCTAAGGAAAGATGAACTTTTTAACGTGCCAATTGTTTCTTTAATTTATTTTCTTGCATTATTTTTTTTCTTTCTTCTTTTGGTGCCATTTTGCATAGGCGAATTCGGCGTCAGGAATAGCAGTGAGTGATGAATGCAAGCTGAAATTTTTGGAGCTGAAAGCGAAAAGAGACCACAGATATATAGTGTTCAAGATTGATGATTCAGGGCATCAAGTTGTGGTTGAGAAAGTTGGGAGAAATGATGAGACTCATGAAGATTTTGCCAACAATTTACCTCCCAACGAGTGTCGCTATGCAGTTTTTGACTATGACTTCACCACAAATGAGAATGTCCAGAAAAGCAAGATCTTCTTTGTTGCTTGGTAACAATCTTATCTTTTAATTGCTAATTATTTCATCATGCTGATCATTATCCACATATATGTCCTTGTTGCTTTGATTATTTCTCTTTATAATTGCATTTTATAATTTTTATGGTTTAAGATACATACTAACAGCGTAAAGATTTTTTACAATGTCAGTGCAGTTTAACTTGTGATAGTAGATTAGTTACTATTTTTACTCAGGTTATCATTAATGTTTGCCGTAGAATTTTAAGTGTAATTACCTTACAAGCGACCTGATTGTATAAATATTTTTTATATTGTCAATGCATAAAATTCAACATTAATTTTGTGTGTCGCTAATTAATCATGTTTAACGTTTTACATTCAGGGCACCGGAAACAGC